GAATGTTTTTTAATGAAATAAACCATTTTAAATTTAAAAAAAACATTCACTCAAGTGATGCTACTTGTCGCTAAATGTCGCTAAAAGTCGCTAAATGTCGCAGAGGCTGATCCTGATTTTCGCCAACATTCGTCAGAAAAGTTGGCGAATCCAAATTCGCAACGAAAGCATTCACCGCTCAGTGAGATGGTGTTTAAGACAGACAGTGGAAACGACTTATTTCAGATGATCAGGATTCTCATGCTATTACCATGTATGTACCAATGTAAATTTATATGATATCATGGTGTTTAAAAAAATAATAAATGTAAATTTCATAGATAATTGGTATTGGTATTGGTATTTATTTTCCATATCACAATATTAAAAACAATACAAAGAAAATGCATGTATATAGTAAAATCAATGGTATAGTAAGTGGCTGGATAAGCCATTCAGCTTTTTTGATATAACAAAACTGTTCTTCCCTGGGGTCCAGGATTTTCGAACTACTTTTACTACTACTATTACTACTACTACTACTACTGTACTACTACTACTACTACTTCTTCTTCTACTACTACTACTACTACTACTACTACTACTACTACTACTACTACTACTACAACTGATGCTGCTACTTCTACTACTACTACTACTACTACTACTACTACTACTACTACTACTACTACTACTACTACTACTACTACTACAACTGATGCTGCTACTTCTACTACTACTACTACTACTACTACTACTACTACTACTACTACTACTAATAATAATAATATAATAATAATAATAATAATAATAATAATAATAATAATAATGAAAATAATAACAATGCTGACTTATTCTATAGCGCACAATCATGTCCATCAAGCGGCGTGACACTCATTACGCTCCAACATTATTTCCTCCTATTACAACTGGCTGGTACATCGGGTACCCATGTATACACCTGGATGGAGAGTAGAAACTGACGTGGTTTAATGTCTTGCCAAAGGACGTTATTGCTGGGCTGGGCTTCGAGCCCTCAACCCTTTTATTAAATGTCAAGTGAATGAACCGCTATATACCACTACACATACATTGGAAATCACTTCGAACCCCTTCCCCCACCCCGACCCCCCTCTCTCTCTCTCTCTCTCTCTCCTCCCCCCCCCCCCTCTTTCTCTCTCTCTCTCTCTCTCTCTCTCTCTCTCTCTCTCTCTCTCTTTTCTCTCTCATTTTGTTCTCCCATCCCCACCCCTATAAATTTCGTTTGTTGGTTTGAGATATTTCAGGTTTATAGTGATAGTGATAAAAACATAATTTACATAATACAAAGAGACAAGTTTTGCAAGAAATATAGTAAACCGCGTACAGTTTAAATTAATCACGAAATAAAGAAAAGAAGATTAAAAGTAACATGTTTTTTAACTAAAAACGGCATGACATTAATACACACAAATGAAAAATAAGAAACAGCAAGTCGGTGAAATGCCGCAGCTGTCCCGTATGATTTCTCATCTCAGTTTATCTTGCCTACGGAGTAAAACCATGACAGATTGCTACGATTATCGTCTAATGTACATTATCCATATTGTCTGTCAAGTTTGATTCAATTAACCGTTCCTTCTTCGTCTTTGAAGAAAGAAACATAATAGGATTCGCATCAATTCCAACCCCAGCATGATTGCACTGTCAACCTATCGGCCCGGCTGGGGGCCGTCCCGCCGGTTAATAATGACCTTCACATTCATATTCCCTGGAGAGCTCGTGAAAATATGTCATTACTAAAACATTAACTGTAGGTTTTAATCCATCTTAAACGTCAAACTAATATGCATCGTGCCTATAAGACTGTAAACTTTCAAAATAAAACAAGTGTATTCGTTTTTAAATGCTTTGAAAACGAATTGGCAAGTAGCCTATATCGAGCTAAACTTGCATTAGTTATCAAAATAAAGCACACAAATTGCTACGAAACACCCTGGACGTTAATGATCGTCATCACATGCAATGACTATTTTCCTTACTTATTTTAATTTCAGTCCAATTTCGTATTTCTGTATTATAGCTTGGCATAGCTTGATAGCATATGGAGGGGAGTTATTGGTGTCAAGGGACAACGGCCTCCTTATCTAATAAAGTGGATGAAAAAAATGAGAGGCTGTCGTCGGGGAGGGGGTCGCCTTTCTTATTGAATCAAGATAAAAGGAATTTGCCAACTTAATTTTCTTTAGTCTATAAATAAAATGTGAAGTGACACATGTATTAAGATCAATGGCTATATGCAACTTTTACTTTCAGTCGCGTGCATCTAATAATCAAACATCCAAGCCTGTTTATTAATTGGATTTAATGATGAAACCAATCCTAAATCGAATTAATGTAGTCTTGATTGTATCAAAACTACATTTAATCCAATTACCGGCAGACTTTTGATTGTTTAATGTACCAACATGACAACGACGATTAAACTGTCCATTAATCAATTCATGCTTTTTTTCTTCACTTGTCACAATAATTCTTAGTCCATAAAGATGAGTTGTATGAAGGTCAAAATTAGTTATATAAACGATTTGATAATGGTACTCCCTTAAAACATAACTATGCAGGAATACGAGTATAAGGTTCAGGTTTCGCGTGGGTAAGAGCGATTGAGACATTGTACTTAGGAGGGGGGGGGGTCGGCATTGCATCGATGTCAACTTATTGGTGTATTCAGAGGTCCATTTCATTGAAATGTTATTAACTTTATCCTTTTCAGAAGAGTAGCCATTTTTTTCTTCATCGAAATTTAGCCAATTGTTTAGCGTCACAATTTTACCCCCCCCCCCCTCCCCACAACAAAAAAAAATACTGTAAAGAGAATAAAAATTGTTAGTAACAGTGGGTATAGTTGCATGAACATTGATTAAACATTTTGTTTAATTGCTTTGCTAGACTCCCGCTAATGTAGTGGAGGGATGAGGATGGGGGGGGGGGGGGGGGGGGTAAAGAGTAAACGTATTTCCTTACAATCAGCGTTTCTTAATACCTTCAAAAAATATCAAAAAACTCACCTCTTCTTTTAAAAACATTATTGTAAAGCTCATTTGAATATGTGTATGGGAAATGCGCTATATAAATACATTATAACTATTATCATCATTATGACATCAAAGTTTACGCAAATAGGGTAAGAGAAGAGAAGCTTCGATAGGAGCCTGAGAGAAGAGCGTTAAACATGATGTTGGACGAGGGCGACCGATGAAGATATGGACAATGAACCAAGACGGAAACAATGAAAATATAAAAAATCAGTAAAACCTATAAAGAGGAATCCTGGCGCCAAGGAGAAAGCAGTGACCGATGCATTCAGGAGCAGTGCGGAGAGAGATAGAGAAAGGGGGAGTGGATGGGGGAAATAAAAGACAGAGAGAGATACCAAAGAGTGAGGATCATCGCAGCCGGGAGGAAGGGCGGGGAGAGAAAAAACAGAGAAGAAAATAAAAGTAAAGAGAGGGAGAGAGAGAGAGAGAGAGAGAGAGAGAGAGAGAGAGAGAGAGAGGGGTAGAGAGAAGACGACAGAAGAGGTCTGAGGAGGAGATGACAAAGGAACATGATTTTCAAAGATGATCCAGATTATCTCTTCGGAGTGTCTTAAGTTTCAACGAACGTGAGGACTTCGTTTCTCCCTCCGAATCACGTTGCCATTAAAAATGCATGACAACAGAGATCTGGTATTGTGTACCCGAAGTCTCGAATTTCTCCTCTGCAACTACATAATCATCGAACTGGAATCGGGTTGGAATACAAGGAAGAATATTCTTGGGTAGGCCTGAAATGCCCATTCCATTTATTTTTGTTCACCAAGTTTTTATTCGCACGTATTATCATGAGTGTCATGTTTGAGACATTGCCCTGCATTATTTTCCTCTGGTTGGCCATCTCAAGTTTCAATATATTTTTATATCTCACCCAAATCAATATTTTAGTCCCATTAATCGTACGTGCTTTGAATTAGCTGAAATAGACGTATTATATAAAGAATACTTACAAAAGATGCGCCACAGACGAATGGATCTGATTGCACATGACTCAGTATTACCCCCAAAGGAATGAATTATGCATCACGTAAGCTACTTTGTTCGTGATTTATAGACATAACTCTATACATGTGAGAGAGAAAATGATGTACAACTGATTTTAGAGTCAATTTCAAAAGTTATATAAAGGAATGTAGTCATTTTGATTTCAACGAATTGAAAACAAGTAAACAAACACAATAAACAATGAAGGGATTGCTTGCAACAACACAATGGAAGACAAGTAGGTCCTACGATATTCAAATAGACTGACTTGTATTGGTAAAGATATACACATATTATTTGTGTATAAGCATTTGTATCATATTTATCGATTATCTTTGATAATCAAGGCTCTAGCCGAAATAATCATTAATTTCAGTATTCTTTTTTCAAAATCAGTATCCGTACTGTATATATTGTCGTTATCAATATAATTATGAGAGATCCATCATCCATCCATTCGTTATAAATGCCTTTATTGAAGAGGTTTCTTGGGTTTTTGTCTTTGTTTTGTTTCGTTTCGTTTTGTTTTGATTTGATTGTTTTGTTTTGTTTTGATTGTTTGATTTTTGTAACGTTTTTTGTTGCTTTGTTTTGTTTTGTTTTGTTTTTGTTCTGGGAGTAGGTCTTATTAGTAACAAATGGAGAAGCTAAATTTAATAAACACACAAATATTTTGTGAGTAAATATATAATAGGCCTAATAAGTTGAGGCCCTAGAAAACATCATGATTCATAATATGTCACTTCACTTCGTTTTCCCCTTTGCTCATTGTTATTGAGCAGTGTTTTTCTACGTGGTTTTTTTTTTGGCGAAGATTATCTACTACCTTTTCGCCTCCCTTTTCTCATTCAGTATGCCCAACAACTCATAAAACTAAATCGAAAAGCTCATATAATTTGGCCATAGACCTACCATAGTTTTTAACAATACTCAGCGTCTAGTTGTACGTGTACCGTACCCCGGAAGTTGATGATGAATCAAAGAGGTCAACCGAACCGTTTCGACATTCGAGAGTACGTGGCTTTATCTTCGTCAAGATTTACACTATGTGGATTTAATTTAGGTTTTCCTGTGCACTATTATTGATCTCACATCTTAAAAGCGTTTCAAAACTATCAAAAAATGGAGGTAAGAAGCATTTCCACTGATTCACACTGATATTTTCACCATGTAAATGTTCGATGATATTACTCTTCGGTCCCATGCTATCAATATCCATGTTAGTCATTTTAAAGTCAGTCATCAATGCAATGCAATGTCTTCTTGATTGATATCATGTTATTGTGAGGCCGTGAACGAGTATCGGAAAGAAAATGCTAAAACTATTATCTCTAAATTTGTATGTATAACTATAAGCTATTACATTTCATATGCTCGGTCTTTCGTGGGGCTATGACTCTGAGAAATGACAGAATTCAGGGTGCTTGTTCAGAAACCTATCCAAAATTTGACCTGTAGTCTGTAGACTTCTAACTCTGGCGTAGATCGAGACACCCTACTAAAACATACTCAAAATGAAGTAAATATTCATTAAATGTCCAAATAAAGATTATGAGTTAAAAGTCATTACCGGTATGTTTATAACCTGTTTCGTGTCAATTTTCTTGTTATTTTTGGAGTATTTCTTGGAAAAACATTGATATTAGTAGACCTATACACTTTTTCACAGGTTTCACAGAAAACCGCTGCACAGTACATACCAATGGTGGGTTGCGAGCAGGCGCGTGCCTGTGTGTGAAGTTATCTATCGTAATGTCTCAGATCCTCATTACGGTAGATAACATCACACAGGCGCGCGCCCGCTTGTAACCCACCATCGGTAAGCACTTGTATTGTGCAGCAGTTTGCTGTGTAACCTGTGAAAAAGTGTATACTAATATCAACGTTTTTCTGAAAAATACTCAAAAAATAACAAGAAAATTGACACAAAACGGGTAATAAACATAACAAATTTTAACTCATGATCTTTATTTGGACATTTAATGAATATTTACTTCATTTTGGGTATGTTTTAGTAGGGTATCTCCACGCCGGAGTTACGGGTCAAATTTTAGATAGGTTTCTGAACCAGTGCCAAACTTCAGTTGATCTAGTGAGTAGTGCCTAGTGTCAATCAACCATAGATCTAGTGAGTAGTGCCTAGTGGTCGATCAAATGCGAGTCTCAATGACAAAAATATAAACTTGATAACAAAAAATTAACATTAGGGGGAGGTGTAAGATGGTGAAATAACTGACCACACTTCCTTCAATTGTATATACTCTAGATCTATCAGTACACTCAGTTGAGCAGTGACAGTCACCCTGCTGTTGAACATGGTTGAAGAAGTGAATTTTTTAGGCAAATAAATTATGATGAGGAATTCTTTAATTATTAAAACTGACATTTATCAACCTTCCCCCTCTCTCTCTTTTTCACTCTCCCTCTCTCGCATTTCTCTTGTCAAACATAGTGATGGACACAGTACAGACCATTTTGAGCGGTTTACAAGATTTTGCGGAGTGCGACATGAACATTCCCTCCAACCTGTAGCTTTCTCACACAACAACTACAGAGCAGAACTATTCTCAAGATGATGGGTTCTGGTAGCAGTCTGGGGCGAGTCCATCATGAGAGGTTAGTCACCACTTTTTGTGTAGAGTTTGCATCTATTTCAAATTTTGTTAGCACTTGGCCCCTTCTTCGCCTCTCTGCACAGTTTTTCGCATACAGAGAACATTTTTGCACAAAGCAATAGACACCCAATGACGGAAGGATTGCTTTGTGCAACACACTGGCTTTGCAAAATTCCTACATGAACCTTGAAGCCTTTAGTAAATCGATCCCATGATAAATACGACGTGGCACAGAGATTATTTGTGTGGAATATAAAGAGTTGGTGATCAGGAGTACATCTACAATGTATGTACTACCTTAGATATTGAAATAGTAATTTTTAATTAATTATGATGACAGATGTTCAATATTTCTTGATGATTGTGCTAATAGTTTTATGTATTATAGTACAACATTTTTTATTCTAAAATGATCAATATCAACTTTTTTGCTGCATATTCCACTTTGTAAACTTCATGTCTTTTTCTAAAAACAGAAAGGGGCAAAGACAGTCAGAAATTTGCCTCCTCATTAAACAAATATTTCACATGCTTTTGTACACAGCCTTGAGTTGTTTCTGTATCATATTCATAGTATTATATGACTGACTGTATTGCATTATACTTTTCAGACTGGCCCCATATATTATTCTCCTTGTGGTTACCAAGTGTCTTCAGGCTCTGGGTATCTTTATCTCATATGATGTCCTTAAACTCGTCCACCTTGTCATATTTGTATTCATTATGAAATCAGGGTAAGTTGAGGTTTGCTTTTCACAACTGACATGTTTAAAGGAAATGTCATCTGTCCCACGCTGAATTATGTTATACAAACATTATTATGTGCAATTTTCATTCATTTGCATTAAATTTTCATTCACCTATGAAAGTTCACATTTATAATGCGCCTAATAGTTTGTTTCTAAGAACATATTATTACCCTGGTCATCGGATTCAGGCTTACCCGCGACACAATGTACGCACATTTTCTACTCCCTGGGGAGCATTCCAGTCAGTCGCCATTTTAAAAGTGCCACTTGCTTATCCAACCACATTAACTTTCGCATCCTACCGGGTACCCATTTAACACCTGGGTGGAGAGTGGCAAATGTAAATGTAGATCAATGTCTTGCCAAAGGAAATTAGTGCCGTGGTGGAACTTGAACCGCGGACCTTGTGATTCACAGTCCGGTGACATATCCACTCGACCACGACACCTCTACCTATGATAATTATCTTGAGTCATTTATTATATGATTGTGAGTTCATTTAAAATGCAAAGATTTGTGGATGCAGTCTTTTGATAATTGTAATGATCCATGATACACCTTTATCTGTACTTTTGCAGATCTGCAGCTGTTCTCTTTGTGTTGCAGAGACCTCTATCTACCGGTAGAAGACTTACCAAGCGTCAGTGGATTAGAGTTTTAAGACATGCGGTAGTTCAGACCCTTATATCTGTCCTTTGGATATTTGGGTTAACACTCTGTGGCCCACTCAGGTACAGTTGTGTGTTCCTTCTCATTTCCATTTTCTGAGTCCCATTTACATGTATGTTTGTGCTGTTGCTAGTTCGTACTATGAAGGTAATATGCTCTGTATTATGTTTATTATGTCCGGCTGTTAGACAAAGCAGAAATCATGATAATACATGTTCATGTGTGTGTAGGTAGCAAAGTCTAATCCCAGAGTATTTTTATTCTGTTAAAATGAAAATGAAAATGCATAAATATGACTTAAAAATATAACTGACTTATATTAATATACTTGTATATCTGCTTGTAGATGTTAGTAAGGTCTAAAGGCAGATATGCTAATCCAATTGGGAAATGGTGTATCTTTCTGATGAAAGATGTTAGAATAGCATTATGAAGGAAGACATATATTCTTCATACTTTGTCCTGTTTCCTCCCATATTCTCAAATACCAATTTCTTCATTTGAAAATTACTTTATTTACACTCAAAATGCAAACGATACATGTGCCCCTTCAAGTTTGTATCATTGATTCCTAAATATTTTATCATTCTTATCTATTTCACCATGCAGATCAATCTTATTATTTGAGCACAATGACGTAGTCATCAGTGGTTTTGTTGCTGCATTGTTTACGAGTCGAGGAGGTGGTCCAAGCAGGGTAAGGGACGTACTCCAGATGATAGATTGACAGAAAGGGGAATTTTTTTCTTTCTAAATAACATAGTGATTGGTTGATTGATTGATTGATTGAACAATATGTTTTGGGAGGATAATGTAAAAGTCAAAACAATTATTCCTGTGTTGAGAAATATCTGAAATTCTGTACGAATGAACGACATGTGAATTCTGAGCATCATATTCAAGTTACCATGGATTCTTTAATACACCTGTGGAATATAATCAACTTTCTGGAAAGAAAAAGGAACAAAGATAAAGCAAAATTATGTTTCAATCTGTATTACCTTTTCAATAACCCTCTGTATTTAAGCTTGAAATAAAGCAGGCTGCAGTCTTTGGCAAATACATGTATATGTTGTGGAAATATCCTATTCTATCTAATTGGTTAAATTATGCAAAAATAGTAAATGAGAACTGTGCAATTTAGCATGCAAACAATACTGTTTGTGCTATTGAAAGTTATGAAAAACATAATATTCATATCTAACCTGTGATCTTTTTTCTTTCTCTTTGTCAAACAGACGAGAGGTGGGTTTATGTTTCTTCTTGCCATTTTGTCTCTCTTACTTTTTGATGTGGATCTTCAACAAAAGCAGCTTGAACATCGTATCCTTTGAGACTATTGATATTCAGATCTTTTATAAATGATATTACTAGTTATATTTTATAATGCACTAATGTTTTTATCTTGGCACTTTACATGTGATTACTATTAAAGTTGTTGGACTACCGGTACCACTTTCACTTTTAATCTATTCAGCTTTTGTGCAATTTTTTTTTTTTTTTTTAAAATTTTTTTTAAACTCCAAGATGATTGATTTAATATCCCCATGTCCCCCCATCCACCGTAATCCTCATCAAAATTTAAAACCAATAATGACAACCAAATGCACCATATACTCCTCACTTGTCTTGTTCCCACCTCTGTGTGATGCAGTTTTATTACAGGTATTTTCTTTAACCATAGCATCTGCCAGCTGAGGGCCCACATAAAAGTGCAGTGACCCACATCTTTTACCAGGCCATTTCTTGGTTAGGGGTCTCGGACCATAAGGTGAGGTTATGAATAGGAGAGATTGTAAATAAGAAGAGATTCAAGGAGGGGATATATGGAGGGTAGATTAAGTTACCAAGATTGTAAGGTGGGGAGAATATAAGGACTAAGATGCAGTCAGGGGGGGGGGGGGGGGGAGGGGGTTATAGGGAGGTGTGAATATTTATAAGCAGGCAAGAAAGTACAGGGGAAATATGGTGTAACCTCGACATTAAGAACACTATGTCTTGTATTAAACTTGTGATGACAGATTGATCTTGCTGGTCTCTTTTTGTTTATAGTTTATTGTCTTTTTCCCTTATAATAGCAGGTTTCAATACCGGTATAAACAATTAATATTTCCATTAAATAGGGCTTAATTGTTTGAAATTCTGTCTCGGGTCACAAATGAACAGTGTAAAGCCATTACCAAGCGGGATACCAAATGTATAGTAGAAACCCAAGCATTTTCTGGGATCTCCCGTGAGGAGCAGTGTGTCTGTTTGACCACCATTAGATTTCAATGCAAACTAATGACGATTGTAAATACCTCCACTTTGGTACAGGGTGGTGTCATCTTGCTGGTCGGCCTGCTGTTTGTGAAAGTGGCCTTCAGGAATGTGTCCAGGAAGCTGTCGGTGGACGTGGGTGGTTCCAAGCGTCTTCATGCTCTATCAACGTTCATCTCGGCACTCATGCTTCTACCTTGGACTCTAATACATTTATTTGTTCATCAGGTAATCATTGTCTCTGTATTTAAACTACCCGTATCATCGTCCTACTTCCTTTTAAAAGTAGTATTTAGTTGTTATAGAGTGGTGAAGTGTTGTAATTTTGTAATGGCTCAAAGCATTCCAATTTTATTTACCCTGTATCTGTTTCATAATTTTGTATCGTCTCTGCTTTCTTCATCATCCTATTCCCTCTTCTGTTATCCCTTGCTTTACTTGCTTGCTGGCTTCCTCCTCCTCCCCTCCCCCCCCCCCCCCCTCCTCCCCCCCCCCCTCTCTTCTCTCTCTCTCTCTCTCTCTCTCTCTCTCTCTCTCTCTCTTTCTCTCTCTCTTCTCTTTCTCTTTCTCTTTCTCTTTCTCTCTTTCTCTTTCTCTTTCTCTTTCTCTTTCTCTTTCTCTTCCTCTTCCTCTTCCTCTTTCTCTTTCTCTTTCTCTTTCTCTTTCTCTCTCTCTCTTTCTTTGTCTCTTTCTCTTTCTCTGCCCCTCTATCTCGGCCACCGCCTCTTATTTTCGTTGAATTATCTAATGGATTTTTTAACTTGCCGTGAAGTGATGCTCAAAGAAACACAATTATCAGCAAAATGGCATCAGAGAGATAAGCAGGGTCCACCTGTTGCATGATGATGCTCAAGGCTCTCAATATATTCACTATAAGTGATTATAATGATCAAAAGTACTTGTAAGAGAGTATAGTGACTCTTCAATTCATCGCCCTAAGCAACTGCATTTGCAGTCTTCTCCAGGGACGCAATTGTGGTTATGAAGTACACATGGGGGAATACATTTGGTAATAGAGGAGTCTTGATTTCTCTTTGCTGCCTCAGGCGAAACAAATTAGCATTATTATGTGCTTCCCCAAGGGGACTGAAATTACTTTTCTGTTATTTGGATGGTACAGATATCAGTTAACATTCTAATAAAGGACTTTTCTGTGAAATAGGAATTGGTTCTGTGACATATCCAAAGTTATTTACCTCTGATATTTTCATAATTTCAATGTCTCTGGTTTAGACATGGCTGTGGAAGGGGTCTGAAGGATGTACATCAAATCTATCATTAGGCAGATTTATTTTGGATGTGTCAGAGAACCAATTGCATAATGATGTAACCATGCTGTGAACTTGTTAAACCAGCTGTTTTGTATCAATATTAAATTGCAGAATGGGCCGGAATCATGGAGATCGTTGATCCTCCCCTTTGCAGCTCTCATCTTAGTCCTCTGCATCTTAGACTACTATGTAGAATCAGTCTCCATTAACCATCTGGAGGTTTTCAGGACAGCTAGATTCAGTGGATACTCCCTATTTCTGAGTGGACTGGTCCTAAGCTACATCTGGGGCTCTTCCTACAACGCGGGAGATTCCATTCTTGGAAGGGTGGGCGAGTTCAGGATGGAGGACCACGCCCTGACGGGAGGGGTCATCTTTAGTGCAATATTGTTTATATGGGGTAAGTCAGGCACAGGATGTTTCTCTCCACATGATGTCAGCAACTTACAAAACACATGTCTTGAGAATTTTATTCTACCATATATATGTGTGTAATTTGTGTATATACACCTCTGACTTCTATCAGTTAAGAATTACATCTTCATTTCCCACTCCATATATTTACTCAAATAAGTCAAGAATATGTACCATATGTTTTTATCAGTGTTTGCCCTAATATAAGTGATTGTGTCATACATGAAGTATCTGACTGAAAGTATGATCTTCAAAACAAAACAAAAATTGTTATTTTTTTATTTAAAGCTTTGAATAAACTCCAAAATCTGTCTAAATAGTGTGCAAACAAGCACATGAAAATAAAGATAAATACTTTAGAATACAGCTGTTGTCTTAAATTGAGATTTAATCCTGTATTTTGTGCCATGCATTTTGACATCTATACTTTAAAATCTCACTATAATGAAAATGTGAATCGTCACCTGTACGTCTACATGTACATACATGTATATGTTAAAGCAAACTAAGATAACAACGACTAAAGCTATAGTTCATGGCTCATGCAGAGTCTAACCTTCTGATGACCTGGGCCACATGTCACAATACTTGTCATCAGTGACAAATGCTGTCTTTGTTATAAGCTAATGAAATCTTTGCTTTTGATTAGTTATCAGCAGACTTGTCACTCATTTTTGTCATTGCTCATTGAAAAAAGGCTTTGTGAATGAATGCATGAATGGCCCTGCTACCCTCGACCTTGTGCTGACTTTAAACTCAATTCACTTTTCATTTTCCACCAGCTACCAGGGTTCTTGGGTGCCCCCTCCCCAAGCCTGGGTCCAAGGGAAGTCTGGTAGGGTACACCGCCGGGGGTCTGCCCCTCTACAACTTCACAGGCGACACCCTGCAAAGGACATCCCAGTCCCTCTTCACCCTCTCCAAGGGCTTCTTGAGGCAGATCCTGGAATCGTATGACTCCAGGCAAATCTTCTACTACCTCTGCATTAACTTGGTGAGTAACTTAGAGGAAAGCTTAGACGTGACCTCATGGGCCTGTTCCTCGAAACCGTCATAAGTCTAACTTCTTGACCATTTAAACATGTGTAATAGAATTAACATGTGTTTCAATGAACGGGCCCCTGATATCCATAGTTCTCATAATAGCTTGTCTTGAGATTCTCCTTTAGTACCACTGTAAAATTTTCTCAAGAACCATTTTAGCATTGGTGCCAGTATATATAAAACACTCTTTCATAAGATGTATAATAATTTCCTGTTCATAGATGATTTGTAAAATAATTGGCAATTTTCTAGGTGTAAACTTTTTTTGGACTCACACTGTACACAGTTCTTTACATTTTTTGAGCTGTTCTACAGTATGTGGACCAACAGGTATGGTGCTCACAGAGAGCTCCAAAGAGTAAAAACACTAGTATAACATTCTCTCTAAAAGCCTATCTGTACTAGTTTGGCAAGGAGGGTTAGACCACCCAGGGTGGTCACTGACAGGTAGTTATTTCATCAATTCAGCTCTCAATTAACATGAGAAATGGAGGATCAAATGGGACCAACGGGCACCACTTATAGGCATGGTTTTCTATTTAGAGGGAGCAAGTAGCTACAAGTAGTGCAGTCCTGCTTTAAGTTCAGAAAACTGGTAAATTCCTCTGACTTAGATGTCAATAACTTTGCATCATAACATTTCTGGTGGTGATATTTGTCTAGCTTTTTAACAGCCTAGGCCTGATATCTGATGATTTTTTCCAATAAAAACGCTTTCAAAAGAGCTCTACTTAAGTACTTTATTGTACTAACTGTTCTATATTTTGGTTGTAAATAACTTTGTATCTTTGTATTCTAGGTGTTCACATTTGTTGAACTGTCCTATGGTATGTGGACTAACAGCCTTGGTCTGATCTCTGATGGATTCCACATGTTGTTTGATTGCACTGCTCTAGTCCTGGGTCTCTGTGCTGCAGTCATGTCACACTGGAAAGCTACCAGGACATACTCGTATGGGTGAGTGTAGAAAGGAATTTAAACACTTATACTTGTAGCTGCTAAACTTAAGGCTTGTTCACATAGGGTGCTGTAACTGTAGTTTACAGGAAACCATTGGAGGTGCCGTGGGGGGGGGGGGGAGAGGAGCATATTCCGTTCACATTTTTGTATCTTAAAACACACAGGCATGTGAGTGCGCGTAGAAAGTTTGCTAAGAAAGCTAATAGTAACAATGAACTTTGTCATCTCCACCTACCATCCCTTTAGTACACACACTTAACAATAAAAAATGCTGCTGTAAACAGTCTCTCTATGCCACATCAGGATCGGGAGACACCTACATTTGGGGAAAATTGTGTTTTTTTTGCAAAATATTGGAAAAACATGTTCAGAACAGTTTTAAAGTCCATAATAAGATGAATATTAGTGTAGTTGTTAGTAAATCGTTCAAAAATATGTCCCAGTCAGCTTCATTTAAATATTGAGTCAGGTAGTCAGCTTATTGGCCCATTTCTCCATCTCCATCAAATCACAGTTGGGGTTTAAGCTCTTTGTGTCCTTAAAATTGTTAAAGTAGTGTTTATGTACCTGTATATGTCGGAATGATCTGCAATACTGATATCATTACTTCCATTTTTTGTATATTTTTTTATTACATTCTTTATTTGGTTATCTCCTTTTGAAAGGTATGGCAGGGTGGAGGTGTTATCTGGTTTTATCAACGGACTCTTCTTGGTTGTGATTGGCTGCTTTGTATTCACAGCTGCCATTGGTCGTCTCTTGGATCCGCCAAATATCAACACAGATAAACTCATGGTAGGAGAGTCCTGTTAAGTTTCTCCCATTTTGTATTTTCTAATCCATTCAAAATTCTGTAGTGTCAGGGAATAATTTTCCTGGTATCGCATCGCAATTTGCTATGCATTTTTGCATGACTGCTATACAAAATATCTTTTGTGTAGCAGTTTTCTTCCATAGAAATGTACAGAATTTCATTTGAAATATTTATCCATCGGCTGAAATTGCCTAATCAAAAAATTTGAGGAAAATTATTCCCTGAGTGTTATACCTTAGTCATACTAACAAAACGCACACCAGACTGAACCAAAAATTAAATGATTGTCCTGAATGGTCAAGGATTTTTGGCTCAAAGTTGATGTTCAGTCAGTTTGGGGGTGTGACAGACGCACTGAGGAATAATCACACCAAAACATATTTCTGTACAGCTAGTACATGTACGGACATGTATAAAATCAACCCCAGAATACTTTATATGGCATTTTATAGACTAACCATTAAGAAGAGTGAAGAAAATGAAAGATGATATGAACCTCACATGTAGAATTAAGGTCTGATTTTTGTTTTCGTTTCTGAGTGCACTTGTATTGAAAAGGATTTACTAAGTTGTAAATAATCAGAAATTTGAAAACACTGATCATAACCTTTGAATTGTTTGTAGGTTTACAGTGTTCAAATTTGTATTGTGTCTGTGTCATGTCTTTGATGTTTTAAGCACAGTACAGTATGTTTCTCAGTATTTCATTTTTGTCTTTATTTCAATATCCAGACTGTTTCAGTAATAGGCCTCATCGTCAATCTCATCGGCATCATGGCATTCAGCCACGCCCACACTCACAGCCATGGGGGAGGAGGATCCAGTCATGGCCACTCCCATGGAAGTACAAGCTCCTCCTCCTCCTCAGCAAGTCACGCCCACTCCCATGGTGGTGGCCAATCAGGCCATGGGCACGCGCACCAACACGGAGCATCAGATCACCAAGGAGGACAAGAGAAGAAAGCAGCATGTCAGGCCAAGAACACAAACATGCAAGGTTTGTAATCAAGCAGTGACCTTTGACATTCTTTTTACTTGCCCTATGAATGCATATATGCACCTTGTATACTGTGCAATTTAAAGCTAGTCATTGAAATGTGTCTAAGTCCTAATTTTAAATAGATTTGTAAGAGCAATCGATACAGGTGAATGGAATAAGAGGTATAGTTCCTCACCGATTCCATTTTATTTACTGGATCAAACTGCCTTATTGGGTACAATATACCATCAGTCACCATGAAAATGGAAGTTTGGAATAATTTAATAGTTTCAAAGAAATCTGATCTTTGTTTGTTTGTTTATGTTCTTTGGCTGTTGTTTTTTTCTACATGTTTATTTTAAGTTTTCAGATTAAGTAAAAGCAGTCCAAGACAACGCAGTGGATCTGTTAGATTTATTCATTATCTGTGATTTCTGTTTGTTTGTTGATCCTTTCCAGGTGTATATCTCCATGTGCTGGCGGACACAATGGGTAGCGTGGGCGTCATCATCTCAGCGTTCCTGGTGGAGCACTTTGGTCTCCTCGTCGCAGACCCCATCTGCTCTATCTTCATCTCGGTCATGATTCTCATTAGCGTGGCCCCGTTGCTAGGGGATACGGCAGCCATCTTGCTTCAGAGGATACCACCCGAACTGGAGCCTGGCTTGAATGAAGCATTGTTCAAAGTAAGAAGAAATTTACTTCTGTTTCTATGTACAGACCCCTGCTTCAAATTATTTGATGGATTGATGTTACTTATTATCTTTCCTACTTTTGGTATTTGTTTCGATGACTCTTCTTTTTCTTCTTTTTCCTTTTCTCATGAGATCTCATAAGATTCATGTTATTAAATATGATTCATGAAAAACGATCGATACAGTCAAACATGCTCTAGTGACCACCTCTCTACAAAGACCACATTTTTTGTTTCTCTTAAAAATGGTTAATCATTGAAACATGTACTAAAAGAACCTGTCTACAAAGACCACTTTTTGTGTTTCGTATGGGCGGTTTTGACAGGTTTGACTGTATAAACAACTTGCAGATATCCGAAGCTAGTTGGTATACATTACTTTTGACTTTTCTTCTTCAGGTCCAGTCCATAAAGGGCGTGCTTTCGTTCCGCAAACCCCATTTCTGGAGGCATTCGGGGGACATGGCTACAGGGACCCTCCACATACAGCTTGAACAAGAAGCCAATGAACAGAAGATCATCCAGCAGGTGGGTCTGATATTATTACTGTTATATGTAGTCACAGGTTATGTGTTTCTAGCTGTACATACCTGAAACCATTACATGTACTTGCTTGCTGTAAAAATGAGGCGATCATTTGTCTCTCTATCTCTATTTAATTCTTTGACAACAGTTTCTTGTTTTATTATACAGATATGTCAACAACAAAAAAGGGAAGAAAAAAAAAAAGCAGAGAACTTTCAATGGAATTAATGTCTGCAGTGGTCTTAGATGCTAAGTTCACAGTCAGTTCGAATCCCTGTATGACACTTGTTGTAACAGCACAATGTGATCTGTCTGCTACATTAACATTGCCCTTTCCTTTATTAACTCTGTAAGGGAACACGTTGAGTAGTATTACATCTCAGGTCAGTTCAAGTCGACTAAATTTAATCATGGATATCTGTTGTTGCATCTCTCCATTAGATAACCGCCCTATTCAAGGAACAAGGTCTGAAAAAAAACTTCACTGTACAGGTAGAGAAGGAGGCATTCTTCCAGCACATGTCCGGACTGAGCGCCAACTTTGACCAAGTTCTCAAGATGACCAACCAGATGAAGCAGATTGGCGGCTTGGACTCCCAGCTCTATGATATCAAGGCTGTCTAAACTGTGATGGGGCGCTCAAGATCCAGCACATGTTCGGACTGAGCGCCAACTTGCTATAAGGTCTGTAACGTGAAGGCTGTCTGTACTGTGCCCAGGTGCTCGAGTCTTTTCAATCAGATAGAGCAAATTGGCCACTTGGACTCCCACAGCTCTATGGTATCAAGGCTGTCCAAACTGTGGCAGGGTGTATACGTTCACCTTCAGGACGTAGGAGATTGGCCACATAGTCGCAGCTCTTAGACCAGGTTCTCAAGATGATCAACCAACCAGATGGAGCAGACTGGCTACTTCTTGGAATCCCAGCGTTATGATATCAATGCTGTTTAAACTGTCAAAGGGTGTTCAAGAGTGCCAATCTGATGCAACGAGAAGGCCAATGGACTCCCAGTTGTATGCCACCAAGGATATGCAGAGCTAACCGAGAAGACTAACCAGTTTGCAGCCAGATATGATATTGAGGAATCTTAACCCTGATGCAAGAGATCGCTCAGTTGGACTCCTATATTTGTCATATCAAGGTCTTTCAAGCTCTCAGTATTATCAGATGTATTAGATCAGCTATTTGGACTCCTAGCTACCACACGTATGATATCAAAGCTACTTAAAGTTAAACTTGTGCTTTTAGGGTCCATCTGCATGTACATCTCCAGGTTCTTTGAAGCCGAAGGTTTATGAATATCTACCGGTAGGTCAAATGTCTCCCAGCTGCTTATTATGAAGGCTGTTTAAAATATTGGCCTTTTGGTGTTTGCCTTCATGTATTTTCTGTCCCATTGGAAACTGTATGTTTGTGATTTGAATACACAAGCCTATGTTTCCTGTGATTGAGTAGCTACATTAAGGCACACTGTCTTTAATACTTGTGGCTACTTGCTCCCTCTATATAGAAAACTTCCCCAATCGGTGCCTGTTGGTCCCCCATGATCCTCTTTTTCTTATGTTAAATGAGAGCTGAGTTAATGAGAAAGCCACCTGTCACAGTGACCTCGCTGGCTCGCTCGGTGGTCTAATCCATTCTAGTTGAAGTAGTAAAGCCTGCCTTTAAGACATGTTCTTCAAATTCCATTTTTTGTAATTTTTCTCAAACACAAGTCTGAAAGCAAAAAAGTCTAAGAGGGAATAATACCAAACCTGTCAGGTCCTTGGATTGTTATGACAGTAAAATAACTTTTCCGTGGTTATGGTTGATTTTTGAGGACCGAGATTGTTCTTTTCTTAAGTAATCCATGAATATTTCATAAGGACATACAAGTAATGTCACATTATGCAAATTAGAAACCAAAGTGCCCTTTGACGCACTCAAAATGTTGCAAGCCTACACCCCTCCCTTCTCAAATACTGAAACATGTGTATCAAATAAGGGATGATATTAGTTCTTTTCAGCCACAATGACTTGCCATACACACGTTCAATTTAGTTTTGCTGAGGTAGAAGAGGTATTGAATCTGTTAGTCTATAAAGTAGATAACAATAACAAATGTTTATCCTATGTTGTCTTTAATAACATACATATAGCACATTGTCTAAATTTGTATATTCTGAAATGGGGTGCTCATGCACACCATTTCAGTCATATTTGCACAACTTGTACAATTACCTTTGCTTTTATTGTATTTCATGTAATAGGTAATATGAAACAGTTAATCATCTGTGTTTTTATACGTAGAATGATACACATTGATACATTTTTGCAGGGTTGGTGTAATATGCATGCATGCCATTCAATCCGATTTCTTTCAAAGCATTTAGCAAAATCTTTGCAGGATGTTTTACAGAATCAACATTTTACAAGTCGCTTGAAAACATGCTCTTTTCAAATAATGTTAGCAAGATCTCTCTCATCATTCTCATGGCACGATGAACAGTTTTTGTTGTGCGAGGTGTTTAAATTATTGATTACCTTTAAAGGAGTTTGGATCGTTATTACAAGCATTAATGCAAGGGCTATTATGCAATTAATTGGTTGCCTAAACTCAAGCAAGAAGTTTACAAATTGACTTAGATTTCTTGTTGGCACCTTCTTGTGATTTTGCACACATGGTAACAATGGCATCTCAGATCTCATCGCAATGCAGGTGCATGCCTAAAAAAAACAAAGACTGTATTGGTATAGAATGTTGTGAGATGGATGTGCTTGAAAGTCTGTTTTTACTCTGATCATGTAGGCATAATTGCCTTTAAATTACACAAGGAAATTTGCTTAAATTTCTTCTATTTGTTGGGGTCCAGGGTGTTTTCACAAAGATCCTAAGTTGAACTTATCTCTAAGTTGGACTTAACAATTATGGAAAGCCGTTAGCATCTATGAAAATATTTTGTACAAGTTATTTTAAAAGGCGTAACATGTTGATTCAAATCATTCATATTTTCTTTTATCAAGGGATTTCATGTGCTTGATGTGGAATTTATTTTTAAAAAGTCTAAAATACTTGCATTTTTGCTTTTGAACATGTTTTATTTTAAGGCTACAAATGGCTCTCCATAATATTTAAGTCCAACTTAGAGTTAAGTTCGACTTGGGATCTTTGTGACCCCCCCCCCCCCCCCCCACACCTCTGGTAGTATTTCATGGAATATGCACACACAACCATCCCCCCCCCCCCCCCCCACCTCTGTATAATTACGCAGTCACATTCGCACCTCCAAGCCAACTCCACTCTGATACTCAAACCGATCAATTCTCAGCCATTCTGGGTAATTTTTTATGTTTGTTGTTGGTCTGGTGTTTCTCTTGTCGATGTGACTGTGGTATCAAATGGCAATCAAATTTACAAAAGCTTGTTTTGATTTATTCAGTATTTAATGACGCAATTTTTTTTTGTCTGGATGGTAGTGGGTACTCATAATTATCTTCTAGATAGTTTTTGTTCTTGCTTGTACTGTACGTCTTTTTGAAGCCAATCCAAAAGTAAGGATAGATCAATCGGTTAAAGAAATGGATTGGTATATCTCGTCTATTGTATCAAGAAGAATATTGTATAAAATAATAAATTATTTTCAAATGTTATATCTCTGACGTCTTCTCATATGCTTATCACATAATTGATTATTTTTTTATTGTAATTGTAAATTTTCTGTGACTGTTTGAACACTTCAAAAAGATGAAATGTGTCTGCCAATAATTTCATTCAACAAATTGCGATCAAAATCTAATTACACTTTAATTCAGAGCACTCTTTTAGTACACACTTGAACAAAATGGAACAAGGAAAGAAGTTGTAAGGGAAGAAGAGGAATTTATTGATTTTATTCAGTAGTAAATCGATATAAAGTTTGCAAATGATACTTGATGGTGGAAAACCATTGTTGATAGAAAAGAGTCAGGGATCAGGAGGGAGGTACTGAGAGAGAGAGATAGGAGGGGGAGGGGAGAGTGAAAAAGAGAGGAGGAGGAGGGGGTAGTGAGTGAGAACAGAAGGGAGAAATGAGAAAGAGATGGAGAATTCAATGTAGAAGGAAAATTTGAGATCAAGTACTAATTAAAGGTAATACAAAGTTTTGGTATGGGTCATGAATTTGGTTCAAATGAACATATTGGAAGCATGTGCGATTTTATCATATTTAATGATCGTCGTGGTTGAATTCGAGTCTAAAGTGATGACATAGTAAATGATAAACAGTTGTATAGCGCCCTCTCAAGACTGACATTCCTTTAGCTTTCAAACAATGTTTCTTGACAACAATCTACCAATTTGCTATTCTTGTCTGAAAATGATATATCAGAACTGCATATTCTAAGATTTTCATGGTCGCAGCTACTATGGAATGGCCTTAGGCGCTATTTGAAATATTTGAAATTTACCAGAAGCACCGGTAAATTGTTGATTATTTATTTTCTTGAAAGCAGAAGTGTTAAAGGGGCCAATTTTCTAGTGCTTATAATACATCCACAGGGGCATCCAAATATATCAAAATTGTAAAGAATTACTATCAATCAAATTTTCCAAATTGTCCCAAACTTTGTATTACCTTTAAGATAATGTTGTTGTTGTTTTTGTTTTTTTTTTTGGGGGGGGGGGCTTTAAGATGATATAATGGACATGTGTGTACGATTCTACTTCAATTCAGCTAAAGTGAACTTTGGTGAAAAATTGAGTTGGTATTAATTATATTTCCAGATAATTTTACTCCTTGAAAAGGAAATAAATAAATAAACTCTATTACCCCCCCCCCCCCCCCCTCCCTCGTTTTTAAGAAGATGATTAAAGAATATACACCAAATATGAAAGAATTGACTAATACATGAAGGTATACCAAATCCGAATATACTGTATGTGTTTCATAATAATTATCTTTAGCTCACTACTTTTATTTAATTTTCTTAACAAGTAAATAACAATTTAAATCTGTCTAATAACTAAAGCCTACTGGATGTCTCAGTTGACTTAAATTAAGTTTATAATGTGTATAAATAATTTAATGATTAAAGAATAAACTTAAACCAAATGTGACAATTCTCAAAACAATATTTTATTTACCCTTCACCTATATATGCTTAAAGAACATTGAGACATTAAATCAATATTCGATTTATTGTTAGTCACCTAACATGTCACCAATGACACCAGGTTCCCTATTAAGTTAAGCCTGGTCTGCATCAGTAGGAAGGACTTGGATAACCTCCTACTGCACTGGTAGTGCTTATAACTGGTCGCCGGGTGGTAGCTCCTCAGGCTCTTCGACCGCAGGTAGTTGAAGAGGTACACCTTTCGCTTCGATTACACATTCCATGTGCCACTCGGTGGAGAGAATGACATCTATGAAATGAAAATATGGTAGGCTAATGATTTATAGAGGAAAGCGTGTAATGGTTATGTATACATTTCAAATATATTAATTTAGAACGAAAGTCACTAATTAGCTCACTCTCACCAAACCTGCACGATACCACCAGGGGCGTCGCTAGACCTTTTCCAAGTGGGGGGGGGGGGGGGTGTAGAGGCCAACGATTAACGACAAAACTAGCCACCAATTACCGACAAAATTAAACGACAAATATCTAAAAATTAACCCTATGAACCCCGGGCCGAAGGCTAAATTGTTTTTCCTATGGACTTTCTGTAGTACTTGCGTACGTGCAAATGGTCATTTTCCACGACGACAGAAATATACGAATTATTTCGTCAACAGTCAGCATTTATAGCTATATATTTTAATGCAGGCGCGGAGCTAGAATCTTATTTTAGGGAGGGGCGGTATCAAGCAAGCGAAGCGCGCTCATTAGGGGGTCAGGGTGATAGGCCTCCGCGCGAAGCGCGGAAGCTTAGACATTTCCCTAAATTATTAGGAAAAGAAGACGATTTATTGTACCGTTCTCGACTGTTAATCCTTGTCTGAAAGAGGTTCCCCCCCTCCTGCGCGAAGCGCGAAAGCTTTGACGTTTCATTATAAGAGTAGACTGTTAATTCTTGTCTGAATTTCGTTTCTTCCCGCCCGCGCGAAGCGCGGACGTTTTGGCGTATAATCAAATTATTAGAGAAGTAGACGATTCGTTGAACCGTGCTCGACTCTTAATTCTTGTCTGAATTCAGTTTCTCCAACCCCCCCCCCCCCACCGCGCAAAGCGCGGAAGTTTTGACGTTGAATTAAATTATTAGAGAAAGTAGACGATTCGTTGAACCGTGCTCGACTCTTAATCCTTGTCTGAATGAAGCTTCCCCCTTCTGCGCTTCGCGCGGAAGTTTTGTTTAAATTATTAGAGAAAGAAGACGATTCGTTGTACCGTTTCCGACTCTTAATAAGCCCTAATTGTCTGAATTCAGTTTCCCCCTTCACCGCGAAGCGCGCAAGCTTTGACGTTTCATTAAATTATTAGAGAAAGAAGACGATTCGATGTACCGTTCTCGACTCGTCTAAATGAAGTTTTCCCCTTCGCGCGAAGCTCGGAATTTTCGGCGTTTCATCACAATATAGAGGAGGGAAGACGATTCGTTGTACTGTTTTCGACTCTTAATAAGCCCTAATTGTCTGAATTCAGTTTCCCCCTTTAGCGCGAAAGCTTTGACGTTACCTTAAGTTTTTAGAGAAAGAAGAGGATTCGTTGTACCGTTTTCGACTCTAAATAAGCCCTATTTGTCCGAATTCAGTTTCCTCCTCTTGCGCGAAGCGCCGAAGCTTTTACGTTTCCTTAAATTATTAGAGAACGAAGACGATTCGTTGTACCGTTCTCGACTCGTTTAAATGAAGTTTTCCCTCGCGCGCAGCGCGGAATTTTTGGCGTTTCATCAAATATAGAGAAAGGAAGACGATTCGTCGTACCGTTTTCGACTCTTATTAAGCCCTATATTCATCTGAATTCAGTTTCCCCCTCTCGTGCGAAGCGCGGAAGCTTTGACGTTTCCTTAAATTATTAGAGAAAGAAGACGATTCGTTGTACCGTTTTCGACTCTTAAAGCCTTTTTGTCTGAATTCAGTTTCCCCCTCTCGCGCGAAGCGCGGAAGCTTTGACGTTTCCTTAAACTATTAGAGAAAGAAGACGATTCGTTGTACCGTTTTTGAATTTTAATAAGCCCTATTTGTCTGAATTCAGTTTCCCTCTCTCGCGCGAAGCGCGGAAGCTTTGGCGTTTCCTTAAATCATTAGAGAAAGAAGACGATTCGTTGTACCGTTCTCGACTCGTCTAAATGAAGTTTTCCCCTTCCACGCAAAGCGCAGAATTTTTGACGTTTCATCACATTACAGAGAAAGGAAGACGATCCGTCGTACCGTTGTTGACTCTTAAAATTTTTAAAATTCCGATTTCTTAAGCTGATATCATAGGAAAGTGAAACTTCGATAAAATACAAGTATTGTAGTTGTAGTCACTCTCGAAGTCTTCACAGCGGATAAAAAGTCACAGTTCGTAGGGAAAAAAACTTGTCGGCCGACCGACAATATACATCTCACCGACTTCAAACTTCTGTATTGATATAGTACACGATAATCCAGCAAGAATACCGACACAGCTGACCCGACACAGCAACATATTTACCCGTGTCTTTCTTGCTCCCTCGACGAGACGACTCTTTTTCTCTTTCTTTCTTCTCTTTTCTTTCCTTTCTTTTCTTTTCCTTTCTTTCCTTTTTTTCCTTTCTTTCTTTTCTTTTCCTTTCTTTTTTTCTGTTCGATCATTAATTTTTGTTTTCTCGTATTCAATGTTCCTTCTCTCTCGGGGCACTAATCAAAACATATTGTAGATAGCATATTATTGTAGGTCCTCTAAAATGAATAGACCCTCCTGAGCAATACATTTTTGAAAAATTAAAATTTTTAGAGATTTTATAATTATGTTGGAACAGACGGGAAAGTAGTTCGGCCCTACACCAAGTTACATTACGGGCCCAGCCAATTTGAAGTGCCCATTATGTAAAGTGATTACAACTTATACAAATTCCCAACTTTCTTATATTTAGCCAGGTTTAATTGAAACTTTCATCAGTTTGCTTCTCTCATTTTTCTGTTTTCTTTTGAGTAGTGCCTATTTGGGTTGGATTTCCCTTTAAACGATCAGTGCCATCGTAAATTCTTAGACGAGATACTTTTAAAAGCTGACTATTTACCTGGCGCGTAGTAGTCGTAAACCGTGATGAGACCGGGCTTGGATCTGTGACGTGATGGACACGTCTAACCTCCAGATCAAAGCACAACGGTTTGGCGTTAAACTGAAATAGAATGAGAGAAAATACGAAGATATGACAGTAAAAGTGTAATTATAGAAGGAAACAAGTTTATTTATGCTTTCTTAGCAGTCAGATTCACATCACGAGCGTTCCATGCACGCATAAATGTGACAAGTCTTGATGTAGCATTTAAGAGCGTATAGGATATTACAATGGGTGTACGGAAGACGCCAAGTCAAGCAAATAAGATGCCAGAGAACAAAAAGGAACGGCTTTGATTTCAGTACATAAAACCTTTAAAAAAAACTTTCCCTAGGACAACGATAACCCTTGAATTTACATCCGTAGGAATACTATCATGGTAAGCTGTTGGAGGGGGGGGGGTGTATATGGGTGGTGGTTTGGCAAGTAACTATCCAAGGGATTGTCCAGGGGATACTCGTCCGGAGACGCAATACTTAAAAATGGCGTCGAGGTAATTAAGATTATATTTTTCGAAACATTTTCTTCATACAAAACGATCGCAAACTCTTTCGACATGATCACCATGTAGCAAGTTCAATAACCTTGTGCGAAAATTACAGTGACATAAAGCATAATCTGAAAATTATTAATGAAGGCATTACAATGATGATATTGCTCTATCATAATGTTGACTTCTACGAAGAATTGTATACAGTTATGCCATATAGATGTTACAATTATTTATATAGACCTGATAGGTTATTTTTCATTCCAATTGCAATCCTCCCCCCCCCCCGAAAAAAAAGTTTTTAAAAAAGAATCCTGATACAACTATATGTAAACTGCCTATTAACCCACAAGCATTGCAGTTTAGAGCTTTCTTATTTTCTAGATTGATCAGTTTACCCTCCTCCAACAATTTATTTTATGTTCCAACCCTTCCTCGTTTGAATAATACAGTTTTCTTAAATGAACCATTCCGACAATTGCTAATTTTTTGCACAAGAAAAAGTGATTCTAGATTTATTTATTTTCAATTAAAAGGCTTTCGTGATTAGTTACTATCAAATTGCTATTATTTAAGAATTGCACAACGTACTGCATTAGAAATGCATTCAAACTTTTCTGTGAATTTTGATCTATCTACTAATATATCTAAATCATAATTCCTAGCATTCTGGATCCAACGATAATGTAAAAACTGCATACTGTTAAGAGTAGGAAGGGTAGCAAAGGCTACATGCACGGTACCGTTATAGTGCTTTGTACATGCGAGCGAGCCATTGCTTCGCTGCCTTGTGCATGTTTGCACGCATTCGTAATAACAGTTATTGTTCATGCTCATTGTACTGTGCTGTGTGTTTCGCACGCGCTATTCATAGAACCATCGCGTTAATCAGATTATCTCAAAATAAAATTGGCACAGGGGGATATTGGGCTTGGTACAATGGGGATTAAGAGTAGGAAGGGTAGGGAAGCTAGATACCTCGTTGAAGTACAAGACGACCTTCTTGTCTCTTTGTTCAGCCCTAGTGAGTTCTGGGTAGAACCCATTCTTCAGTAAATCAAAGGACTTTTGTTCAGGAACGAAACCAGTAACTAGCTTCACCTCGACCATGGCCATGTTGGAAAATCCATCATCACCGAGATACCTGTTAAAACGACGAATTGTCTTGTTAAGTTGGTTGGTTGGTTAGTTAGTTGGTTGATTGTTTGGTTGGTTGGTTGGTTGTTCGTCTGTTCATCGGTTAGCTAGTTAGTTAGTGGAATGGTTGGGGTTGGTTGACTTCGGTCGGTAGGTTATGTGTGCCGGTTAACAAATTTAGTTTTTGACGCGTTATAGGTTAGTTAAATTCGGTTTCTGGGTAAGTTTGATATGTAGATGGTCCGCGGGTGGGTAATAATTGGTTGATTTGGTCGAAGTTAGTTGGTAAGGTAGTTGGCTGATTAATTGGTTTGTTGGTTAGTTGGCTGGTCGGTCGGCCGTCCCGTCTCCCCGTCGAGATCCATGTGCGTGCGTGCACACTTTCGTAGTAGCAGTAATTGTTCATGCTCATTGGACTGTGCTGTGTGTTTTGCACTCGCTGTTCATAGAACCATCTCGTTAATCAGATTATCTCAAAAACAACCCGACAAGGGGGATTTGGGCTTGGCACAATGGGGATTAGCCCTGTGGCATGATAAATGTTAAATGATACAAACTAGTGAGTTATTGCATGATGGAATAACAAGTCAATTAATAATTATTCGATTGTCGTTTGTTTAGTTTGATGGCGGTAGATATGATTTAAGACCTAAACGACGGATCTTTATTATGTTTCACTTAAAATTCATCTTTATTCTAAGATGATAATCATCATCAATAGTGATCTGTCAGTTTATGACAGGTTCAGTGACCCAATCAAAATTTTATATCAATTGTCTCTCCAAGTTCCTCCGTCTTGAGTCATCCGTTTCAGCATTTCATACCCTGTTGCTCCACATCGTCTAAAAAGCCTTTACGAGGTCTTCCCCTCTTTTTCTTTCCATGAATACGACCTTCTATGACCCTGAGTATCAAGCCATCATCAAGCTTCATAGGCATGCGTCTTCAAGATGATAATAGTTCCACCTTTATTTACCTCACACACACATTGAGATTAAAGCTTTCTTGGCAGGCGTCTTCAAGTTGTTGCGTCGTTGGACCCACGTTAAAACTGATGTCGAAGGCTGGTGCGGGAGGAAGAGCCGGATGAACGTTATATCGGATGATAACCTGATAATTATTTGAACAAAGTAAACGTAAGCAAAGAATAAGTTTTAAGAATTATAACTGACGTGAATGGAGCGAGAATATTGAATACAATTAATTTAGTGTGGATATTCTACCTAACATATGGCGTTCTAGGCCCCGTCTTATAGATATCAATCGCAACTTATTTGCGATTCATATCAATTGCAGCCAGGCGCGTACGCGGGGGGGGGGGGGGGGGGGGGGGTGAGTTCGACCCCCACCCCTCAATTTTTTTTTATTGTGTGTGTTTTGAAGGACCTCCCCCCCCCCCCCCGATTTTTGTTTTTAATTTTTTTTAAATTGTGCTAATGGGTGACCACAAAATGGTGACCCCCCCCCTCCTCCCAACAGAACAAAATATCGATCGGCCAAATTTCGGGGGGGGGGGGGGGGAAAGTGCTCTTCACCATTTATATTGAAAAACACGTGTTTTCCGTTTTAACCCTGCTAGGTAACCAAAGGCTCAATTGAATCATTATTTTATTGAAGGAAGAAAGGATACTCGATGCTATATTCGCGAATTTAGCCTACATCCATTTATGTATATGCATTGTTACAGTAGCAAAATCTTGTGTGGTTCCCCGTCCCCCTCAATCCCCCCCCCTTCCCCCCTTCCCCCCTTGGTTTGGTTTGGTTTTATTTTCCGTATAAAAATTCAATACATACAAGAATACAATTTAAAAATAATACAAATCAAGAATAAAAAACGGCTGGAAAGCTCTATTCAGAGCCATTATTAAAATGGCTCTGTTCTTCCTAGAGGTCCAGAAATAATCAAACATAGAAATAAAACACAAAATATTAAAAAAAATAATATTACTACCCCCTCCCAAACCCTCTATAACATATTATGAAACGACTGTTACCATCCCTCCCCCTCCCCGTTTACACCAAAAGTTTATACATCAAAATCTAGCATCCATTCATTTAGGCCCTGTCGAAATAAATTGAGTGTGTTCGGTCTACGTAAGTTAATCGGTAATTCATTATATAATTTAGATCCGCGATAAAAGAATGTTCGTTTACAATAATTAGTTTTAGGCTAAGTTATCGATATTTCTTAGGGCATAATTGGTTTCTTTGTAAAAGATTATTCTGCATATAGTCTGGAGTTAAATTATGGAAAATCTTATACAGCATTATGTACATGTGCTTTTTACGTCTGGTTTTTAGGGATTCCCATTTTAAGAGGTCGTGAATTTGATATGTTGAAGTATGATTATGAGGGTTTATCTTAAGGATTATCCTACCAGCCCTATTTTGAAGTTTCCCCCCTCTCTCTCCTCTCTCTCTCTCTCTCATTATCTCTTGTTTTTTCATAGTGCCCTTGATTATAATCTTTAATCAAATCCATATTTTTAGTATTTATTTGTTTTTTTCATGGTTTATATTGCTTTGCCTCGGTTTTCTTTTGTTTTTTCCCGTTACAGTCTTTGTATTATGACCGTGTTCTTCTATCTTTGACGTGTAAAGTATTGTATTGTCCCTTTCTCGTCTCTGTTGGCATTCCCCTTTTTCTTTCCCCTATTTTGTAGTTCCTTTTGTAGTTACAGATTAGTTAATTTAATTACTCATTATTCCTAAGTTTTATTTGAGGTGTTCACACTTGTACAAGCATTGCTTTTTAGTGGACCCCTCTGTTTCCAACATGTATTTCTTAAATTTGTTTTAAATGCTTATAATTGATTTGTAATGTTTTGTTGGAAACATGAATAAATTTGAAATCTTGAAATCTTGAAATCTACAGTCATTACCGAAATGAAATAAAATGAACTTTACCTGAAGAAGGGCACATCCTTCGCCAATAGCGATGACGTCGATGGCCTTTGGAAGTTGGTCGAGGTCGGCCCGCTGGAGAACGAGACGATTTCCATCATGGATGATGAATATTGAGTTCAACGAAAAAGGCTCCTGGTAGCTAAACGCAATACCCAGGTTAGACTCGCCGCCGAACACAAGACGGGCATACTCAGCGAGAGCGTGAATGGCGACGACGGTGTCCTGGGAATTAGACAGTGGTTTCGAAGAATATCCTAAAAAGTTGCATGATGTTCTCCTTTCATTACTTGGAATACTATCTAGCATGAGGGAATTTAGTAGCTATATTAACCAAAAGTTATTTTATATTATCTAAATAACTGCTCTTTTAAAAATTACGTCATAATAGAACAATGCTTCAAGCTAGTCTGTTGGGGATATCAACTTTTGATATCAATTCAAAATACCCACCCCCCCCCCCCCCCTCATTTTGTTTTCTTATACTTATAGCTGTTCAGCTACAGTCTTCGTCTGCTGTGTGAGATCGTCAGGGAGAGGGGATAATACGGTAGTAATTCCAAATGCTACTTGGAAACGCAAGAACAGTTATCAAAAGTTTAGAGGTTGTAAATAAAATAAGGAGGGGGATATTGCCATAATCCTTACTTTGTAAAAATGCATTCACATTTCATTATAATTTCCTCAAAATATTACCTGAGACGATTTAAACCCTCCGTTAGGGCCTTGCTGTGAGACAATCCACTTGGAGATAGCCGAGCCGCGGGCTATGGCGTCATGACCGTAAACATTGATGTAGGTTAGGAGTACGTACGCGGTCATCTCAATGCTGAGGGAGGAAGCGGTTGCACCACGGTTGTATCTACGCGATCCCGGAGTCTGGGTTCGGCTGCTTACCCAGTATCTCACTCCATCTGTTAATATCATTTACAGGGGTAAAGCTATTTAAGTTGAGCAGAACGGTAGCAAAAGACAGGTGGTGTTATTTCATATTCCAAAGGTGTGAAAGCGCATGATTGTTACTGGAGTCAAATTGCCCCTTGAAAAAGGCCCCCGTTTACCCCCCCCCCCCCCCCAAAAAAAAAGGGATGTCCACACTGGGAAAGCAAAAAGCATTCCCATCTAATTATCGTAGTGACTTTTCGAACTGGTCTATTCTCGTAAGCTGTTTCATATGGATAAATCTATCCCTAAAGTACACGTACTTTCATTTTTGGCGACTGATTCGAGGTATTCCAGAACTTTATTGACGTTGGGATCCTTAGCTATACTCAGGGCGTAGGCGATGAGGGCGGCAGTGTATGTGTCTTCCAAACTGCCGATAGAGTTGCGGATACAGGACAACGCGTCTTGGATAGCCTGGGTCTGAAAGAGAATATCAAAATCATTAATTCTCCGTAAATTAAAAAAAGACATGCACTGTACTGTAGTTTTGCATGTACATTATTAAAAACATAGGTTATCATTGTTTTTTTCTGTTTTTTTAAACACTATTCCAATTTTTTTTGTCGTCTCTGGTTTTATCACTGAAACCTCCCGATATCACTAGATTCAGGCGCGTACGCAGGGGGGGGGGTTTGAACCCCCCCCCCCCCCTCTCCTTTGGTATTTGTTATGTGTGTATTTTGGACGAAAAACCCCAAACCCCCTCCCCCCTTGGTAATTTTTTGGGGGGTAATTTTTTTTCTTCAAATTTCGAGATCAAGAAAGAAAAAAAAAAGGGTGTCCTCTTACCCCCCCCCCCCCCCCCCCCCCCCCGCTTATTTAGTGACTGGTTGAGTCGTTGCGACATTTTCGGCCCGATTTAAACATGTTTAAAAAACCTCGGTTTGTCGACAAACCTCCTTTGTGAATTCGGGCCACTAAGTGTGAGAATGTTTTTAAGCTGTTTTAGTGAAGCTCAAGAAGAATGACAAAGGCTCCACCAAGCACGAACCCACGATCTCAGCTAAATGACATGCAAATCATACAAAACTCGTCGCAGCTCGATTGTGACACGCCAGCTAATTACATCAGAACAAAGTGTTCGTCGATTGTATGCCTTACTTCTGTAGATCTAATCGTGGACGCGAAAATCTTCGAGAACTTAAACCAGACGAATTTCGACTTGAGACAGCTGAAGACGGGCTTCGATACATCATCAGTAAAAGAGATCGACTGGAAGAAGAGATCAACTGACAAAGAATAATCGTCATGATGAGGTGTCAAACAGCGGAGTGATGTACGAAATACCTGGATGTTCAAAGTTCAAAGTGTCCATTTGAGAATGAGAGTTTCATGCGGTACGTTTCGCAGCTCAACAAAGATTGCCCTTTTCTATTGCAGAAACCAAGTGCAAAAAAGCCAGAAGATGGTGACAACTGGTATTGCAATGTTCCAGTTTGCAAAAAAAATATGGGAAATAAGATAAAACACATATTCTAGAAAGCTAGATGCTCACAGTTGTATACAAACCACGGCTTAAGACTAAGAGCAACATGCATTACAACTCTGGCTAGAGCCGGTTTCGAGTTCCGACACATTCAATCAGTGAGTGGTCACCACAGTACGCAGTCACTCAGGAATTCCTGTACACTAGCCCCAGCCACGAGCGGAAGAAAAAAATGTCCTCACATCGTGGATGTCATCTCTACGAGAAAAGAAACATCACTTTGCCTAGTGCAACTCAATCGGTTCCAGATCCTGGTCCTGGACCAGGTCCATGCGCAATCGCGCCTATTCCATGCACACGACCAGACAGCCGCTTGAAGTAGTAGTTCCGGACCGTGACTCAGTTGAATTCCCATCAACAACTTGCTTTTTCACTTTCGCAGGATAACGTACATCAGGACCTTTCAACGACTTCAAATACTTTTCAAATCCACGATTGTGTGGTGAACATTTATAAGAGACCCCAGTCTAACTCAAGTAATGTTCAGGACAAGGCTTTGTGTAGGCCTAGAAAAGGCTAGATCTACATATGTTTGGCTTCAGTTTGACTATTTCAGCTTTTTAAACTATTCTACAGATACATTATCGCTGTTTGGGAGTTGCACTTTGGAAAGACATTTTTACCTTGCTGGTTCGGACTCTCAGTTACTTCAAGTTCTACGAAGCGTAGTCGTAGACTCGATCTAGATCTAGATCTAGAAGTTCATTGTTCAAGTTGGAGTTTCAATTTCGAGTTTTCCTATTACCTGTTGCATTGATTTACAAGTTTATGATGGATGATCCTGTTGATAAAGGTAAGACTAAAACTAAGAAAGTTTGATCAAAACCTTAGTTTTTTAAAATAAGTTAGATCTAGATCTAGATCACACTCATACAATAGATGTAGACCCAGTAGATATAGTATTAATGTAGGCCTATGGACCTCGAGATGAGGGCGATTTCTTAAATAACAAGGATCCACATCATAATGTTATAAACATAATAACATCATTTTGTTCGGGCATCAGTAAATTTACCCACACTCGGTACCTTTAAAACAGTCCAAAAACCCTCGGCTAATGCCTCGGGCGTGTTAGACCCCGTTTACAGTGAGAAAATTACGGGGCCGGGCCAGGCCGTGGACCGGCCCCGCAATTTTGTGCGTTTACAGTGCGAGGACGGGCCGCGGCCTGGCCTCGCACTGTAAACGCACACAATTCCGGGGTAACAGTTGGCCCCGCAATTGGCCGCGCATTTGGTGCGTTTACAGTGAGAAAAAGCCGGACCAGGCCGCGGCCTGTCCCTACGTGCGTTTACAGTGAGAAAATGCGGGGCCAGGCCGCGGCCGAGACTACCTCCAGAGCAGGGCCAAATGCCCGGCCAGTTTGGCCTCGCATTTGGCCTTTTGCGCGTTTACAGTGCGAGGCCAGGCCCGGCCTTTTGCTCACTGTAACAGGGGTCTTAGACACTTAGACTGTTCCAAAGGTAGGCCTACCTTGTGTGGGTAATTCCTACTAATGCCCTCACTGCTGTGCATTATTTGTATGTTACTGAACTGTTTTTTTTTTTATGAAAGTGAATATAGCTAAAAAAAATAAAGATCAATTTTTATTTGATTGTTGTCCGATTCAAGCACTAATAGGGTTCATGGCTTGATACAATCGACACATATGCTGACATTTTTGAATAATTATGATCGGTAACGTAGGCCTATGGGTTAAACAAGCTTTGACTTGTACAAATGAGGGGAAATCATGTATTGCTAAAAATTAGAATGTTAATATCGTGTAGATCTAGGCCTTCAGTTCCGATAATCTGTGAAAATACAACTTTAAACTAGTTCAGTTCCAATTCTCCTTTCCAATCATTCTTGAAGAAATTCTACACGATAATTTATTTCTTACATGTTTAACTGGAAAGTGGTTTTTAAAGGGGTGTAACATGTCGAGACTACTTGTCTTTTCAGTGGCCTGACTCGGGTCCAATCAACTACGGACGACGCGACCGCATTATTCACGTGCGTGCAGCATACGAGAAACTGGAGCATCCGTTTCGCGAACGCTAGCGCGCGCTGACCGTCAATTAAGTACATTCGTTTACGCGCAGCTGTCCAAAAGAAGTCGTATATGGCGTTAACCAGTATTTGCCATGCTATTCCCCCCTTTTTTAAGAAATCCAGTCCGCCCCTTTATTACTGTCTGAAAAATATCTCACTTGGTGAAAAACTACAGAACATTCAGGAAATGCGCCTTGAGCATTTGACTGTCAAGTGGATTTGGCGCCTTATAAATCATATGTATTATTATTATTATTATTATTAAAGGACCATACCTATAACAAATCATTTTCCACGAAATGTACGTAATATGACAGGTGTGGATTAAGAAATACAAATTAAAAACTCATCTGTAGACCTACAGTATTAGGTAGATCCCCTTAGACTTTATAAGTCGTCTCATTTTAGTGCATTTTCACGTTTTAACATTTCTTTTCCTTTTAGCCAGCTACGATCAAATGCATTATTCACGTTATTTATTTGGAGTTGTGGTCTTTATTATGCAGATTTGATTGCACATGCACATATTGGTTCTACTTGCTAATTCAAAACGGTGAATGCACCATACGGCTTACTTCGAATCATCCGATCATCGCGTCCGGCCTGGTGGTCGCGTTATTCGTGAAATCACAAACATTACCCCCGATATTTCGCGAATAAAGGGACACGTTTTCACAAAAGGTCGGGTATGAAAATCGACCACCCGACCCGACGGGATGACACAATGATTTGAAGCAAGCCCACCATACATACTTCCAAAGGCTGCTGGGCTTCCAGTAAGCTAACGACTATGAACGCTGTCAAAGTCACCTCATCATTCACTCCACCCTAAAGAGAGGTCAAGAGAAGACAAATTACAAATAATCGTGGTAGATGTATAGATACATGTATATAAAGCCTAGCGCTTTGCAGCAAATGAATGATTTAATAAGTAAATCTATGAAAAGTAAAACAAAAACAAATGGGAGGGAACATTGCACATCTACATCCAAGGTGAAAGCAGTGAATTCAACTGTTAAACGAAGAAAAGAGATATTTAATATGGCTAAATATTTTTTGATCAAAATACTCGATCTGTATGCATGTTGAACATATATGTGCTTTTAGATGCAGCGTTGGCAATTTGCGTTTGAATGACCGCACCTTTAGAAAAGTACAACTTTTCTATTTCTAATCAGTTTGTGCTCATACTTTCCCTGACTTGTTTCTCTCATGAATCTGCTTCTAGTGAAACCCACTTAATATCAGGGTGGAGGCCCTCTTTTTTTATACCTGCATCTCTTTGTGGATTACGCGACCCCTTGACCGGAAACACCCATTCTCCTCTTGTCCGAGGGTGTTGTACAGCCAATTAATACTGACGTCAAGGTCCTTTGTATCGATGGTAATGAATGGACTGGCCTGAGCGAAGGAGCGAATCACATAGGCTGTCAGCCATGCACTCCCTGATGGGTCCCGGTTACCAAACGCTGAGTAAGACCCGAGGCTACGCCGGTAATTGAGCTGCTTCTGGTATCCTTTCTGAAAATTATGAAAACGGGGAAAACGTGTGAAACAAGTGCATAAATGTTTACATTTTACGTTGCCTACTTATTTTCCTTTTGGCAACCTCTTATTTTCACCCTCCTCCTCCTTCTTCTCCATTATCGTCGTCGTCTTCATTTTTCTTCATTTTTCTACTGCTACATCTTCCCGGCCTCCTTCTAGGATGACGTAGTTCCTATTAATTTATCTATTTGCAATGATGGATGTTTTTTATATGTTGTAGGCATCGTAGGTTCAACACACGAGCCATTATATAAATGGTTTAATTTGGTTATGGATGAACGTAATTGATCACTATCGAGGTTTTCACAGTTTATTACTTATCATAAATATGGGTTTAGTTATGATCTCTATTTAATTCTTCTAAGTAAAATATTTAAAAAAAGGCTTTGTGTGATGCTAGGTTAAGTAACCCCTTGGGAACAAACGCGACATACAATTAAATCCAGGATTCTGTCCTTCAGATTTCGATTGATATCAAGTTGTGATCGCTCTGAACCCATCATTCTTTTTGTTAGATTACCGGACCCTGATATGATTACCGCCATATCAATTACCAGTGGGTAAATTGTGTCCGAGTTTGGATCTACTCATGGTCTTTCAGTATGATGAATGTTAACTTACGTGGTACACTAAACTTCAAGAACACAAACACTATAATTACCCTCATATTTGACAAGGCTTTGTTGACTTGTGATTGGTCAGCTTGTTCGGTCGCTTGGAGGTACTGGAGCGCGTAGATGTTTGGTACAAACCCGATCATGTTCTGCTCACCGCATCCAGACGGGATCCTGAGCAGTCTGTCGATGTTCGCAAGACTATTGCCGAGAATGTCCCCTAGGTTAGATGAATAGAAGGAGATGCCGATATTTGAAATGTAAAGACTTGGTTATATATTAGAACCAATCGTTTGGTAACCTCAATAGTGGATTTAAACATAGTCTATCGCCTTGGGAGCCGGAGGGTAGAGGAGTGCTTCAGCACCGGGTCCCCTAAAGAAAAATCGGTGTTGCTAGATTTCGTCAGGGAATGGGGAAAAACGAATTTTCGAGCGAAAAGATACTTTTAAAATGTACTCAAATTATTTATACAATCCTATGCTTTATTGTGTCACTGTAAATCTGATAAATCATTACTTCGATCATCAGGTAGGTCTACTTCATACAAATCATCCAGCATGTGTGGATATAAATCATCGCGTAGATATTATCTGCGCATGTCATTTTACAGTTCATTTGTAATTGTGTTAACCCACCGAGATGAATACTGAATAAGTGTCCGTGAAATGTATGTAATCATGATTCATTTATGCACCGATAGTACATCCTATGATACACGGGTGTAAATATTCCTTTCATTTCAGCGGGGATTTGTACCGTTTGCTATCTACGAACTGGTCTATTATAACATTCAGGGTAAAATATATTGAATAGTAGATGGCGTAATAGATCAGAATAGTTCCAATACCTGACAAGAATATAGTAACTCTGCCCGAGTCCGTAACATACTCCACCGGAACTGAGATCTCAAATGTATGCCTGAATGTGCCGCCTTTCTCTTCTGTTAAATAGGGGATAATACGGAGTAGTTTAATAATAATAATAATGACAAATTACAATAATAACGCTCATACTGATTTGATAATGCTTTTAATGCTAATATTAAAAGTAAAAATAGAATATGTCGATATCACTACTACTACTTATGACTACAAAAAGAATGATGATGATGATGATAATAATAATGATGATAATAATAGTATTATTGATAATATCTACATGAATTTAATATTGCTTACATATCAACTCCAAGTCATATTTATTACCTTACCTGGCTCTGACCAAGCTGACCAAACGTTGCTGAAAACATGGGAAGAGTTCCCCGCAATAAATTTTTACTATACCTTTGTTGAGAATACCATCTTTAGATCACATTACAGTTCGTCATATTACAATTCGTCACCATGGCCATACTTTGTCCAAAATGATCACATGACCAATGAGTGCTTACCTTTTGGACAGAAGTACAAACTAAGCGATTCCTCCACCTCCTCTCCTTCAGGCTGTAAGAAATAAAAGCAATTAGAGGGAATTGTGATGGCGAACTGGGTGGAAGTAAAGAGCTCAGTCGAGAGTTAAACAATAACACTTTCAATTGCATACCTTCAGTCACACCTCCAAACTGACTGCATATCGACTCCAAACCGACCGACCGATTCTTGGCGGTCTGGTTTGTGAGACTGTATTATTTAAAGGTGAAATTCAAAGAAAATCACAAATATGTCAACTAATGTATCACTAGTAACTGGTAAGCTAACAGATGGCCATCGTACAAGTTAGAGGTCAGCTACATATCGGGTGATTTATAAAAATAAAAATACAACCACCTCCATAGCAGCTGGGATATACGAGAGATTCGCCAGAAAAATAACGATGTTTTAATGACGTCACAACAGGGACCAATACTGCCCAAGCAGACGACATCCCATAAAGAATGAACATAATTGCAAAGCTATCATTTGTCAAATTATAATGAGTTTAGTGTATATAAATGTACTGGCACGTCAAACCGATCAAAAGGGGACATGACCCGATTCTGATAACTAAAATCTTTTACTTGTAAATACACAGGATAGGGGTTAATTAACAATCAAAGAAACCAGACTTTCAAATTGAAAAGCCCCCGGATTGATATTAAGGACGGCATTTGTTCCCTCTTAAAACGCCGAACATACCGCGGTGTCTGCAGCTGAATATACAATGGCGTCTTATTTTGTTTGCAAGCGACAGATTCCTTTATTTTTGTATCGCTGCATTTGTCATCAAAATAAAAACATGCGCGGGGTTTAGAGTGAGGCAATAGATTATACATTTAGCCTGACGGTAGTGAAGTAAGAGAAAGAACTCAAGAGAAGATGAAAACACAGGCACTGAAAATGTGTGAGATGTCATGAGACATCGTCTGCTTGTGCAAATCATGTCCCTGTTGTGATCTCACACATCTCAGCAGCGTTCGGAGAGCTATTCAGGTGCTATGCCGGGGCTGTATTTAAGCGTTTAGTAATTTATAATAATCATTACTTCGAATGTTTCCAAGCATTGAATTTTGATAACCTTGTCGAATCAAAGTTTCAACTTTGCAATAATGAAAATAAAGCTAGATTTAAAATCAATGAATATCTACTTTAACGACGGTGTCGACACGTACTGCCGGGTAATTATACGATGCATATAGAAATGGCATCCGTCAAAGTACAATATTAAGGACTTTTAGATTGAGTGGACGAGAACACGACGAACGCCGACTGATCATGCGTGTCAACGTACTTAACTGCCCATGTTGACTACAGAAATCTTTTAGTTTGCACTCGACGATATACATGCATGCAGGAAGTAACACTATGAACATCACGGACAAAGAAAGAGGACAAAATATACAGTTCCTCATTCTACCCTCAACAAAAGAACATCCCTTCACTGCAAAACAGGTGAATATGGTTGATTGTGACACCTGTTCTACACATTTTTTACATGATAGCAGGGAAGGGATGTTCCTTTGTCTACCTGAGGAACTGTATATTTTATGCGCACGCGGCATACTAGTACCTTGAGCATTGTAAAGGCGCTATATAAATATCAATATGTAGGTATGTAACTATGTACTAGATTTAGGAAAATCTAGGTTGACGCATTCTCGATCGCAGACTGAGACGACGTAACGCATGCGCAGTGCCTTAAAATGACGTCACACGTTGCAGTCAAAGCTGTTGACGTGCAAATCTAAAAGTCCCTATTGTGAGGACATACCGACATGGCATTTTAGTCTAATACAGCGTTGCTTGGGTAAAAAGAAACCATTATTTGTTCACAAAAAGGAACCTTCTGACACTTGAAAATGGAGATGATAGATAACAAGGCTAAATCAAATGAGCCACTTCGAAGATACTTTATGCGAATAGGTCATTAATTGTGTACAAAACTGTAAAAACCCATCGAGACGACTGCTAGATACGTGTTCATATAACACGTTATGTAATAACTATTCATTTATGCACCGATGGTACATTCATGATAGCAGGTGGAAGAAATCTTTTCAAGAGGGCACAAAAAAAGGCCATGATCATTCGAAAATGCACAAATTTGGACGTATCCATGCGTAAATGGTCCGTGTATATTTGGGGCTTTTTACTGCTGTCTCCGGAGTGACTTATTTAAAGAAACCAAACAAGACTTAATTTGTTTTAAAGATGTTAAATGTTTATACCAGGATTACAATTAAAAGTAGAAGAATGATGTGGATTGCAAAATCTGTTAGTTCCCGAATACTTGTTTAAACTTTATTTCGATAAAACACTTAATATTAAGGTTCAATACAAAACAGCGTATGGATCTATAAAAAAAGCCCATGGGCAAATGGGAATTTCGTTCAAAGACTATACATATTAAAAGCATATTAATGACAGATAAAGAACACATGACATGAATATATTTCATAATAATCGTGTTATTTCACAATCAATTCACGTTGATGGATGGGTGGAATGAATTTCAGTTTTTGGATCATCTGAAATAGTGCAGGTGCAGTAAAAGCATTCTTGCTGCTCTAATGGGTGGCGTATCCAACATGGCGTGTAGAAATATTAAGAAAACGTGCGGTAGTCCACTACACAAAAAAGCTGCCCTCTTCATGGACGGAAGATTTATACCCCACCCCCGTGTTTGGCACTTACTGGATATACAGCATCGGGTACGTTAATACAGTGAAATATTTAATCTTACCTCTACGAGAATAGGTTTGCTTAGTCCATCACTGTGTCTTACATCAGTTTCAACAGGTTTCTCTCCGCATACAGTCTGGTCATACACAACGATCACAGTTGCTGATGGGAAGACACATTTATATTATGTTGCATGATTGTGAAGTCCAGTTCAGTTCAGTTCTTTATTCATTTTCCACTTTGGAAAACGTTTTAAACATTATAATGTATCCGGGCATTTGACATAATAACGAAAACTAAGCATGTAAGGGATGTAAGCGATGGGAAAAAGGCGTATAGGTTCACAATTTTTTCTTCTATGGAGTGCGAATATGCGCCGGTGGGGGAGTGTGAGGGTATGTGCGGCTATGCGTGCGCGCGCGTGTGTGTGTGTGTGTGTGTATATGTGTGCGTTCGCGCGCGTTTCATGAACTTTTAACACTGGGCTATTGTAGCCTCGTTCAAATGATTTTAAAAAAAATAATAGATTGTTTCTGTTTGTCGCTCCAATTTGGGGGTATTCTGAGGAGGCTAGTGACAGTGTGTGGTGGAAGTATGGTCGGGTGGTGTGTGTGTGTCGCATTGTGGGGGAGGGGGATAGTAATGTGTTTGGTTGGATGGGGTTATTTGTTTTATGTTACAACTGATTTAATTTTTGTTTCCATCAATCGTACAATCTATGTAATGAAAATATTTTGAATTCATGTCAAGGAAAAACAACTTTTTTTGGATTTCTAAGATTGATTTGTATTGTTTGGAATCAATAAAACAAAATTTAAAAAAAACTATTGAAAAAAGGGGACCTGTATGAAGGCCATAGATGCAGGCCTCTTGGAGAGGAGGGGTTCAATAGATACAAGATATGTCGTAAAGGACATATACTTCACGGCATCGCTCATTATTTCAGAACTGATAGACAGGGGTGCATGGTATACTTACTTTCCAGATCAACGTCCCCTAATGCTGTGGGCCGAACGTTAAAGGTCACTTGGGTTGGTTCAGAGCTGCTGCATACGCAAGTGTATTTGCTGTTGGATTTCTCTTTGATCTCAAATTTAGCAGACGGAGTCAGAGTTACCTCAACCTTTAGGAACAACAATGACAGGGGGGAATGTTTTAAATATGGACGGGCGGTGGTCCGTGGCCATTCTTTATAATGCATGTGATATAACATCGTTCTCCTTGATTTGTTTGTTCTTACTTTTGTTAAATTTGATATCAGAAAGTAATAATTGATCCCATTGGTCCAGTTTGTCTTTTCATCACATTATGTTTCCCTCTCACTCTCTCTTTCTCCCTTTATATACAGCGGCATTTTACACCTATGCCTTAATCGAGTCGAGTGGTGAAAAAGAGAAAGAAAAAACGGGAAAACAGAGAAAAGGCAAAGGAGAAGAGCGAAGGCGGGTGAGAGAGAAAAAGAGAGAAAGAAGACGTCCTAGATTACCTTTCGCTCCCTCCCCTGATACAGCCTTGTAAATTTGCATTTCATTTTCCGAGAAAGACCGGTGCCCCCGTCTCCTACATACCGCCCACACCGCCCACACACTGCCCACACCCCCAAACACTTCGTTTCAGTGCTGCTTCAATATATTATCTCTATACTGGCCAAGAAAGCGGATTATGAATTTGACATCGTATTATTTTCATGTACCGGTAAGCACTTTTCTAAGTAGTTGAAGATGTTGATTTGAAGCTCCAGTTCCTCGCCTCGTATGACAGAGTACGGGAGATTGTAATCCGCAAACAACGGTTTGTAAGCTGTCACTGAGAAGGGTTCGGAGATACCAAAGCCAGTCGTTGAGGAGATACAGAACCCACTTCCAATCCACTGTGTAATGGTATCAGGGACGATGACGGTTGGGGATTCCCTAGGAAAAATACATAGATAATAATATGATGATTTTATTCAAACAATATCACTACTACTACCTCTATCATGACTTCTACTACTACCAATATCATGACTTCTTCTCCTGCCACTACTACTACTACTACTACTTCATCTTCGACTACTACCATTTCTCCTATTACTACTTCACTGCTTCTATTAATATTGCCGCCACTACTACTACTTCTGCTACTAAAAACTGACAATGCTGAAGATATTGGTCAGTATTAAACGATGATAATAATCATGATAATGATCGTTATAATGAGAAGAAGAAGTAGAAGAAAAAGGAGAAGAAGAAGAACAACTACGATAATGATGATAATGAATTTGATACTAATAGGCCTAACAGTAATAATAGTAAGAAAGATAATACATTTTTACAAAATTGTAATAATTGACTTGGAAAGATCTTTTCTATAAAATGTGAAGAAACAGTCAACTTTAAACCCCCATTAATTATCCATTACGTTTCCAGGGGGGTTCGATTCTATGGAATATGTAAGTTAGTTTTACTCCTTTAATAGATAAATCTATACTTTTTATACTTTTAGTTGTATCAGGATTGATTTGGCTTTAATATTCAAATTCATGTTGAATGATCCTACACATGGTCTACAAATAACTAGACAAAAAGAAAATCGATTATCGATTAGGGTGAGAATGATGATTAGTTTCACTGTGTCTTACTCTGGGCGTTGCATATACCAGAGCCAAGTCTCTGGAAAATATTTACGAACGGCTGGACCTGCTGGAACCGGCAAAGGTGCATTTCTGGACAAGGGGATTCCCAACTGATAAAAATATGCTGTATAGACAGAAACATTGTTCAGAAACAGAAAGGATTTTACTAAAAAATACATGTTTTGATTTGATTAACGGCGTCTAAAAATAACGCTTAACGAGATGAAGGGCATGAAATCTGCCGGAAGTTGTACATGGATATATTGTTCATTTTAAAAAGTCAAACACAAATAACAGCGTGTCCACACACAATTTTTTCTTCCCTAAAACTCTATTAAGAAACGTCGTATAAAGAATCATCTCATAAATTCCGGGGTTTCCACACACACAAGAAAATAATCCAGAAACTATACAGCAAAACGTCGTATAGGTGCGTAGTTTGCTACTGTGTTCATGAAACGGAGGCGGAATGAGAGGTCAGGTTTCCTTTCGCACGCGGTCACGTTAAGCCCCGCTCAGTTATACCGTTCTAATTCGACCAGTTATACTAGATACGTCCACACACAACACATTCCGTGATTCTTTATCGAGTTCTAGTTCGAAACGATACCTCGACCCGCGTTTCGTTATACGACGTATCGTTACCCCGTGTCCATACGATGAATATGTGTGTGTGTACGCTTACTAACGATACGTCTCTAACTCATTCCGGTGTCACTTGCGTAACGTGAGATTCATACGTGAATACGTTACTCGCAGTGCCACAGTGAAGATCATCCATTCTTTGATTTCATCCCGTCTTGATTTTTGAAATGCTCTTTTTTTTCAACTTACCTCAAAATCAGCTCGTACGGTTACACAAATTACAAAATGTTGCTGCTCGCATTGACACTCTCCACCGAACACAATCACATCACACCAGTTCCTAAAGCACTCCATTGGTTGCCCATGAGTGAACGCATTGTTTTCAAAAATATTTTGCTTTTATTTCTGTGTCCATGACTCTTCTTCAAAGTACAATATTACTTTGATAAATAATGTTAGCGTTGAATTTTCGCTTAATACGTATATTTACACCTTGTGTCCACACACAACAGATTTATCGTATAACTATTCCGAAACGGTAAGGCTATATCGTTTCGGGATAGTTATACGATGAAATTGTGTGTGTGTTCGCTTACTTTAATACAGCGTGTCCGAACACAATTTTTGGGGGGATGTAAAACGAATCGTTTATAATTTTGAACAATAGCCATGGGAATCTTTTTTTTTTAAACGGCCATTGGTCAATCGAGAAAAGTTAAAGCTCGTATATGAAACTCATTTTAGGTATTGATGTTCTTATCTTAGGAAAATAACCTTTAATTTATAAATATTCCTACAACATATAAACATGTTACCGTTCTAATTGCGAATGGGTTTTTAATCAAATGTTATATTTCTTACGATAGGGTTTAGGCCTCTGACATGGACTTGTCTCGACTTTAAGATTAGAAATCCGAACAAGACCCAGTTGCTGGAATGAAGAACAAAAAAATAAAAAAGGGATGAAACATTCCGAATTCTCACGTGTACATACATTTTTCGTTTTCGATTTCTTGATAAAAGGGAAAATAAAGTCGTCAAGCTCGTTCACTTGGTATGAGAACAGGGAGATTGAGATGTACCCACTTCTTCTCAATCACCTACAACTCACACGCATACCCACACGCACATACACACAGTGGCGGATCCAGCCGGCGGGAAGAGGGGGCCCAATCCGTGAGAAAACATTTAGTTGCGACTTAGCAACCGGTGAATAAGCGGGGGGGGGGGGGGGGGGGGGGGGGGGGGGTAAGAGACACTTTTTTGGGGGGTCCAATTTTCCAGTATATATTTTGCGCGGACTCAGCCAGCCGGTGAATAAGTGGGGGGGGGGGGGGGGGGAGGGTTGGGGGTGAAAGCACTGTTTTTGTTTTTTGGCTTAATTTGTGAGAATTTTTTTTTTTGAACCGTCAGGCCCCCCCCCCCCCCCCGTGGATACGCACCTGCGGAGGATCCAGCCGGAGACAAGGGGGGGGGGGCAAAATCTTAAGAAAAAATTTAGCGCCGACTAAGCCGGGCGGGGGGGGGGGGGTAAAAGCACATTTTTGTTTGTTTTTTAGATCCAGTTTGCCGGCGGAGGATCCAGCCGGCGACAAGGGGGGGGGGGGTGGTCAAAATCTTCAGAATTTTTTTAGCGCCGACTAAGCTGGTCGGTGAATAAACGGGGGGGGGGGGTCAGGGGGCCGCTTTTGTTTTTTGTTTTAAAAAAGGTTAACTTTATGTTATTATTCTATTTTCTTAAACCTTTTGGGGGGACTGTGGGGGGGGGGGGGGGGGGGGGCCCAGGCCGGAAAAATCGCTACGTGGATCTGCCCCTGCATACACACTTTCCTCCTTCCTTTTTGTATAGCTTGGTACCATTAACTATAATTTAAATCTCATACCAAAATTAGATTTGATTAAGTTTTAATTAGTAGATTGAAAATCTGAACGTGCTTTCGTACCTTTGGAAAATAATTATACTATCAGTTTATAATAGGTTATTGACAGTTCAAATCCAGACTCGGCTACACCAGTGATTTTAGAGGAAAAAGGGAAAGCTCAGACCCCTCCGTCCGACTCAAACCGGTTATCATTGTTAGAAAGGTCTGAATAGTACGTAGGCGTATATCATTGAGCTTTGTGTGAATCATGCTCGTATCATTTCACCAATTCCTTTTGTTGTTTACTACCTTTTGATGACTGATTATTGCTTTCTTATAGAGAATCTCACCTTAAATTCCTTGGTCACGTCTGAGTATAACGGAATTGGATTAGGGCCGCCTCTACCGCCATTATCAAACTCTGGCAGTAGTACGCCCTCGAGATCCTGGCAAGGCGGATTTTGATAGTCACTTGAGTCCAACTGGAATGTGTTCAGAAAGCTGGCCACCTACAATAAGAGAATAGAGAGTACTGCACAACCAACGGCTATTTCTTTCTTCTTTCTTTTTTTTTTTGGGGGGGGGGGCATTCACGAGGTGCCCCCTCAAATTTCTTCTGTGAACTCTTTTATAAAACTAGCCAATCAAAAATACATCACAAGTTGGGAATAAATTCTCCAAAACTAAATAGAATATAACTGGTCTGGTACCATCATCCCCTACAATCTCCGAGCTTGGCTTCAAGGGGCGTAGGCCTATCCTAAATGGAGACTTTTTTAACTTTTTTTTTCGACAGTAGGCCGTAATCCCCAACCGATCCCATTATGACGTTTAAAATAATTTTTCTTACGTCGTTGGTCTTGATCTGGTTGTTGCCTCCGAGGATATGCACACTCTCATCGACCACTCCGACAGCGCACAGCGAACCAGGGGTTGCGTTGATCTCGATGTTCGTCCGTGCCCCGGCTCGAGTGTAGCATTCTGTCCTTCTGCGACCTGGATGTGGACCTAGGAACAAGAATGTCAGAATCCGAAGAAAAGGCGACTTCCGGTAATGTATGAAAACAAATATGATTTTTTTTTTCTTCATATTTTCTACGACATGAAAAAAATGAATACATGGTAAAGTAATCACAAAACGGAATCTCTTCTAATAATCTTATATGCCTTTTGCAGTATTTTAAAAAGAAGTAGTTTACAATGTTGGACAAATGACTTCTGGTGCAACATGTTCATGTATTTCCTTGCACCCAGACTAGGTGTTTTTCATTAATTGGTGATTATTTTTTTTCAGACTGAAACTGCATGACTAGATTCCAACGTTATCTTTTCTTTTCATCCGGAGTTCTGGATATTCCATAATGGTGTTAAAGAGGTTGTCACGAACCTAATCAAGATGAGGAATTTGTTATTTGCGATTAATTTGTGTTATATTTGGGTATTTTGTTCCCACTATTTTGTGCCAATTGAGCGACTATGACATATGATAATTTAGGCAAAAGGTAAATGACGTTTGTTGGTTACTTCATTCTCGAAGACGGCGTTGCTTTCGATTTCCAAACTATCGGCGATCATCTCTCCGTCATCAATGATACCATAGACCAGAAGGTCGAGAAACGGGGTCATTAACGGCGTGAGAACAAAGGTGACGTCATAAATGATGCCTTCTGCGTTCTCCTGACGGGATGCCTCGTATTCGAAATCCTGGAGGATGTTCCCCCGAGACGCAGCCTGTGATCATGGTAAACAGTTACTCGAAAGTAAATCTTGAAACATGCTCAATTTGAATACTTAATATGTTCTATGAGAGTTTCGGAGTGAAAAATCGTATTCATCAATTAACTATTTGTAAGTATTCTTATGT